CCCTAACAATACACCCTTATTACCACTGAATCACGAACACAGATCAAATGTCCCCATTCCTGTTTCATTTTGCTCTACTGATTGAGAGACCTAGCAAGAATGTCAGTTTTGGTGGTGGCTTTGTGATCTGGATCCCGCTTGGTAGGATCCACACAGAGACCAACAACTCATTTTGCACAGCCCACGATGCAGGCATCAGATGACTGTGGCTTTCAGTTACTACCTCTGGACCGAAGCCAGAAGCCTAGTGGTGAAAAGCTCTTTATACCATTACCAATCCCTCGAGCCACCCAGTCCTTCTGCATTGCATACAGGTTTTTAGTGTTGTGCCTTAAGATCTGTTCTGGTTCTGAGTAACGTTCTTTGTGATGGGAGTCTTGCCACTCCCCCTCTCAGGAGGGGAAAAAAAAAAATCAAGAAGGGAGTGTGAAACCTATTTTCAAACTCTGTTTTGGTTATCTGATGCAGCTCCTGCTCCTGGATTCTCTAAGGGAGAGATGTGAGTCCTGGGGAATGTCTGTTTCGGTGCAGAGCTGAGACCTGTGTGCACTCGGTCGGTGCTGCTGGCTTCAGCTCAGTGATGGCTCCTGCATCGGAGCATCCGCACGCTGCTGGGTTCCTTACAGGGACAACTGACAGGCTTTCCTGTACAGCTGCAGCCTGGCTGGGCTGAATCCCACACAGGTCGGTCTGGTCCTGACCCATGCTTAATGGCGGCATAAATACATCCCAGACAAGGCGGATGGCACAGCCAGTGAGCCCCCACAATATCTGCTTCAGCTGCTTTCCATCTGAAGTAACCACTGAGAGCTACAGGCGAATGGTGCCACCTCTGCGTCTCCCATCCTGCCTCTCAGCACCACGACTCACTGCAAAATGGCACCCATGCAAATTCCTTTTCCAGCTTCTATGCTCTCCCGCTCTTCAGAAAGCACATCACACACACAGCAGCTTTTTCCTGCAGAGTCTTAACATCAACACACTGGTACTCAAGCCTTCCCGAAAGATAGCTGCAAACAGCTGATCCTCCAATAACACGTCTACAGATTTACAGTCTTTAATGTCGATTGCTGAATGTTTCTGTTCCTTTCTGAATCATTCCAACAGTTGTTTCAAGTGAATGTATTCATCCCCTTCCTTTTAACCATTGGAGTTTCTTGCTTGGTCTGGGAGCGTGGAAGAGGGAATGAAAGGGTCTCTTCAAATTCGCTGTAGCTGCTCCCTCAAAAGAGAGCATTGACATGGATTCTGCAGCTCTCGTGTGCAGCACGGCTCCCAGAGGAGTTACACGCACAGAAAGACTGCAGGATCCTTGTGGGCACTCCAGGAAGAGTGTGGCTATTCTCCTCCCCACGCGATGAGAGTATCGTATCTATTCCTAGCATGGCTCTACCAGGTGGCAGCGCTCCCCTGCCAACATACCTCTGGTTTGGCTTACCTTGAAAGCAGTGATGTTACATTATGTGATGACGTCATTATATTTATTTCAACTTCCAATGAAGATTTCCTGGCAAATCTCTGACCTGGAATATCTTCTTCTTACTGGATCCAAGATCCAACCAACACGGTGCAGACTGCATTTATATAACGAATAAGGTGAACTGTGAGGAGTTTTATAACAGCTGTTGACATTACTAAACTAAGATTATTTTTCTATTAAAACTATGGAAGAGGAAAAACTCGCCCAGTATTTATACAAACAGCACTGCTCCAATTTCTAGCTGCGGTTATTGTTGCGATGCACCATGCACTTGTGCAATCTGAAGAATGTATCTTTGTGGTGGTATTCTGAAAAGGATAAAAGAATTCAAATGCATTTTTTCACATAAGCAGAAGTGTGAGGACCCCACACTTTGGTGGTATGAGTAACACATTTTCCTCATTGGTTCTTCACACTTTCTGGACTGACTTTGAATGAGCTTATTACAGACTCCTGGACAACTTAATTCCGGTCTCTATTTTCTTCTTCATCAGCAGCATTACCCTTGGCACTTCTGAATTACAGTACAGCACCGTACTCTTCTTTAAACATGACGTACTTCTGATAAACAGAATACTGCATAAGATACTGTTCTGCACTGGCTGCTCTGGATGCTGCATCCAAGGCCGCCAAGAGATCACCCTGAATGCTGGGCCTTACCCCCCATGTTCTGAACAGACACGTGGCGAGCGCGGGCAGGTGGTGCTGGGTGGAAGCTAACAGTGCCAAAGGGAAGGCAAAGAGCTCCATCCTCACAAGGGGCTGTGTGCACAGGTGTAAAGACTCACCTGAGGTTGCATTCTGTGCCAGAGGTGGATACGAATTTAAATTTCCAACGTTACACTTTAAGGCACTAAAATTGCAAAAGAAACTGAAGAGTAACTACAAGCTCAACTTCAACCTTTCCCTTCTTATTTCTTCCCCACAGTGGTCTCTGTGAGGTCTTATTGTGCCACTACAAAGATGAGCAAACAAAAATTGGCCGTGTTATGAATTGATTTCAATTCGAAAGAGCCATAATTCAATTCTGTTCTAAAAACATATTACAAAATCTAATATTAAAAAGATTTGCATAGAAACATTCACCAGAAAGCTATTTTATTTGTTTGGCTTGAAACACTTCCACTACAAGCCAAACATTTCAACACTGGGGCAGGAGGACCAGAAAGTGAACCTGACCAGAAACAACAGTGGAAACAACTAGTTTATTTTTGCTCCACCAGCTGACAAAATTTAGTTAGTTCTTTAAAAAGAATAATAAAAATCACGTGCCTTGTGGAGGGTGAAGGTTGATTTTTTTAACCCAAACTGTGACCGTATTTCTCAGCGCTGGGGCACTGCCAGCTGAGGAGGGGCGCACTGAGTGCCGCACTGAGTGCAGTGCCCACCAGCTGGAGGCAGGAGCCAGCTGTGGTGCTGAGCAGGCACACGCACAGCCTGCGCACAGCAGCGCTCCCATCTGCAGGCAGTCAGAGGCGGTTTGCAGACAACATCTCTGTTTGCCCCACTGCGGAATCACCGAGGGATGAATCGGGGGCGAGTCCCTCGCTGCCGGTGGGAATATTACCGTAGTTACGTTCGCTAATGGGGCGAAGGACCTCGTATTGTAATCCAGTGACATTTTCAACCTTCGGAGAACTTTTGTTGACATTCCCGAGTCGCTGGCTGCCATCCCAGCATGAAATAGTTTCTGTTCACATAATTCTCGTGTTTACCAGTCATGAAAAACTCTTGCTTTTGGCTTTTTTTTTTTAAATAAACTTTTTTTTTTTTCCTTTGCAAGTGAAACTCTGTCTAAAAAAATATTGGCCCCAGGCATAGAAGGTTTTGCATAAATTCATATGTGATGAATGGCTGATTTTAATGTTATTTGGGTATTTGTCAGAACCTAACAAATATACATGGTAATGGTGGTTCATAAACTTAAACATCTCAATATCCCCTTTCTTCTAGAAATAAATTACGTTTGTTTGCCCTGCCTGGAGTCCTAAGGTAGCCGACATTAGGAATATTTTAAATGTGATCATCCATCCAGCATGTCTTTCAGGCGCCACGAAGATTAAATGAAAGAATCATAAGATGAAGGTCTTTAACTTTTAATCCTTTTACAATGAACCCTTAGATAGACATGGGGGCAGGGTGCCTTCTATGTGAGTAATAATGCCTCTGTTCCTCTTCACTAGGTTAATGAATACCCCAAATGTCCCAAGATCTGATTTTTTTTTTCTAAAGTACTGAAATTAAAAGCAAAGAGACGGACGGTAAAACGCATCGAGAGAGCGAGAGGGGGAATGAATATGCATTGGGAGATAGGCGAGCTGAGCGCCGGGGAAAGCAGGGCTGGGCTCTGCCAGCGAGAGACACGCGGCTGCAGAATGATTAGCATAGATTCCCTGAGAGTTAAAAAAAAAAAAAAAAAAAAAAAGGTTTTTGATTCCAAGATAAATAAGGAAAAGGCTTTCTGCACTGTCAGGGCGCCTCTGAGGAACACGTGGAGCGTTTGTTTTTGCAGTCGGTACCTATGAGATACAACCGCCGGCCGTCCCAGCACGGCGCGGCCCAGCGCTCCGCTGCCGGCGGCGGGTCCTGGCGGAGCCGCGGGGTATTTCCGCGTCCGCGGAGCCGGAGAGCGACGCGGGGGCGGCCGGAGCCGGGCCGGGGGGGCGGCGGGACGCGGACGGCGCCGGGCAGCGGCGTTCCGGGAGCTGAGCAGCGCCGTGCTGTGCCGCGCTACGCGCGCACCGCACCGCACCGCACCGCGGGGCCGCCGAAACGAGCGGGTCCGTGCCCAGCGCGGGCGCTGCCGGCGGCGGCGGAACACCCGGGGACCGGCGGGTGCCCAGCGTTAATGGGCTGTGAGGGCGATTGTCGCCGGTCGGGGAGGGCGTGCGACGCTGTCACAGGATCGGGCTAATAACGCCTCTGCGCTGCAAACCCCCAACGCCCAAGGGTCAAGTTTCAGCAGCGCCCCACCACAATGGTAGGTGTGAAAGACACGTGTCCCGTTGTAAATGAAATGTCAAGCGGCTACAAAAGCCCGGAGCAGCGGCCCGGAGCCCCGCGGTTTCCCCGCGCGCGGCGCTGGAGCTGCGCGGGCTGCGGAACCCGCAGAGTGGAGCGGAGCGGAGCAGCGCGGGGCGGCCGCACCGAACAGCAAACAGCACCCGCACGGCGCGTGTTTTAGTGGTTGACTTTAATTCTGCTCTGCGCTTTTACTACAGGGATATAAAGAATAAATAGCAGATACTCTTCATTTTACATAGAATTAAGTCATTCAAACCGTTCTATTTACAATAACATTGTGCTCGAGGCGTTTTCTTTTTAACCTAAAGTCCGTAAGAAGAAAAAACAAACACACACACCAACACGCTTTCCAAATAATGGAAAATAGCTTTAAAAGGTTTTCTTATCAAAAAGTTTGGTTTGTATTTTTTAATCCTTTTATTAAAAAACAACAACAACAACAACAACAAACCGACTTCGCCAAAGCAAAGCAACTCCTCTCTGGAATATAAATACAAAAAAAAAAAAAAAAAAAAAAAAAAGATACATTAGCAACGATCAGGGTAATAGTCTTAAAAATACAGTAGACGCTGATTATTTCACGTATAATACTGACCTTTTAATAGTATATTAAAACGGTGCCATATATACACACAATATACATTCTCCTACACGTTACAGTGCATTACAACGTTAACCAGAAAGCAGTGTCTCTTGTTTGTGTTGCAGCAAAGGTCCCCGGCAGCCCGGCGGGCATGCAGCCCTAGCAGGAGCACTTGCACTCCGCGATGATGGGGTACTGGATGGGGATCCACGTGCACCGCTGCCCGCCCCGCCGCTGGCACCGCCACCTCAGGATCGTTAAATGCACGGACTTGGCAGGTTTGCAGACCATGCCTTCTGGGACCGAGCAAGACCTTTTACTGTAGCAGCTGCCCACTTTGACGTACCGGGGCCAAAAGCGGCTGCCGAGATCGTTCCACGTGTATAGGACCGGGCAGAAGGTCTGGGACCAGAGCCACATCTGCAGCTTCCTGCGCAGCTTCTTGCTCAGCCTGTGCTTCTTGCCCGGCTGCAGCCCATCGTAGAACTCCAGCCCCTTGATTTCGCCGGGCATCGCTCCCGAAGGTCTCTGCCGCAGCAGCAAGTCCAGCTCGGCCAGATCGTCTACCCCGAGCCGGTCCTCGGGCAGGGAAATAGCCATAAAGTTAGGGTCGAAGTGTCCTCCCATGAGGCTCCTTAGCAAGGTCTCGTTAAGATCCTTCTCCTTGGGGTCAAAGATAGGGTCCGGGTGCTCGATTAGATCCACCAGAGGCAGGTTGTCGCTGGGAGCCGGGCGGATGTGCAGGTAGTGCTGGCAGGAGCCCTGCTGCAGCCGGAGCCCCAGCAGCACCGCCGCGGCGTATATAGTCACAAGGCACTGGGAATGATCCATCCTTGGGAGACCGCCGGGGGGGGGGGGAGGGGGGCTGGGTTCACCAAGCAGCGGGGGAAGAAGGTGCGAGCAAATGCATCAGAAAACTCGGACGCGGATATCCCGGACCGCCTGTCCGTGCGGGGCTCCGCTCCGCTCCCGCAGCGCCGCACGCAGCCCCTGGCCGCGGGCAGAGCCGGCCCCGCTCCTCGCGAGCCGCTCGAGAAAAGCTCTCCCGGTGGAGCCGCTCCAAAATTCTGCCGCAGCCGCCGCTTCTTTTCGCGCTCCCCGCGACGAGGAGACAGACGCCTCTTTTTGTTGCGAGTCGCGCTCCCCGCTGCCGCTCCTCGCCGTCCGCCCGTGCGTGTGCGAGAAGTCGCCGCCGGCTCTTCCTCCGCGCTCCTCTCCGCCGTTTGCAAAGCCGCCTCCTCAGCAGCAACGGCAGCCGCGCACGTTGGCACCAGTTTGTCTGCTTCGCGAGGACCCAAAGCCTTTAAATTTCCTGCACTTTCAGCTTCATCTCCATGGAAACCACAGACTCTCTTCTAACCCACCCCACCCCCCTTAAAAAAAACCACACGCACAACGCAACCCCCACTCCCACAAAAGTCCGGGAGAGCGCGGCTTCCCCCTTGCCACCCCGCACACACCCTCTGCTGGGGAAGGCTGCAGCCCGCCGCTTCCCCCCGCCTCCCGCCGCTCCCCGGGAGATGCTCGGCGCTCCGTTCCGCTCCTCCCGCCGGCAGCGGCGGCTCGGCACGGCGCTCACCCCATGGGCGCGGCGGAGGGGCGGCGGGGCGGCGGGGCGGCGGAGCGCAGCCCGGGAGCGGAGCGCGGCCCCACGCTATCCGCGCCGCTCCCCGGCGCCGCGCGGCGCTACCTGGCCGCGGGCGGAAGGTTTGCCCGGCTCCGCACATGGGCCCGTGATGTAATTCCCACTACGCGCCCGGCTGGCCGCCCGCCCGCCCGCGGGGACGCGGCAGAGCAGACGCCCCGGCCCCGGCCGGGCATAGCGGGCCCTCTGCTGGCGGCGCCGAGCCGAGCCGAGCCGAGCCGAGGCCGCCCCGCGGACATCCCGGCGGAGCGCGGCGGCGGCCCTCCTGCAGCGCTGCCCGGAGCGCACCCTGCAGCCCCACGGCCGCGCTCGGGGCTGCTCCGTCGGAAACACCGGCGCGGTGTCGCGCCAAATCCGTACAGCTAAGGCAGAAACGCTGCCTCGACGTTACGCACGTGGAGCGGTTTTACAGACTGACACCAAACGCCGCTTCTACTGCAGAAGTGCTGTGTCACAAAAAGCATCGCGAGGCACGGTCGGCGCGCAGGCAGGGTCAGTGAGCGCTCCGTGAGGACGGGCGTAAAACGTCCTACAGTGCTGGAATCCTACGGGCTGCGTAGGCGCTTAGGAGCATGAGTTTAATGGACTGAAGCTCAGCCACTTCTAAATTATTCATGCATTTGTTAAAATGCTACTCTTCACATTTAGGATCTTAATGAATGTAATATGTTAATTGTATTACCCACGTTCAGCTGCTTTTCTAAAAATTAACTGTATTTTATCATCTATTTTCACTCCCTAGGCTGAATTCAACACAGTGACACAAAGAAGGTGGAAAACTGATGCAAGCCGTGCTCCAGAAAAGGAGGCTGAGAGTGACACTGAGTGCTGTGCTCTCCGCCCTCACTGCCTTCCCACCTGCAGCCGGCCTTGTTCTGCCGTGGAGCTCTTTTGGGAAGGATTTCATTCAGGCTGTGAGTTCTACAAGTTGGAAATGTGTGGTGTTAAGTGGATGAGGAAGAGAGAAACCGCTCCTCCTTGGATCCCATCCTCCCTTCTCCTTCTTTTCAGGGAGTCTTTGTTGCCATACTTCTTCGTAAAGGACTTTTGTGAAAGAAGTCAAATATTAGGTTAGATCAGATTTTTCCCCAATGAAACTACTGGGAAAGTGGCCACTGGTGTGGGCCAGTTCCTCCTCATTGTGTACAGCAGCACTGCCAAGGAGCAGACAGGGAAAGCAACCTGTAACTCACTGCAAATATTTCTGAATTAGCTTTCAAGCCACCTTGTTTAAACACAAAGACACAAAAACAACAGGTTAAAATAACTGCTTTGAAGAGAAAGCAAAAATTCTGAAGTTACTTCCTGACATCCTGTATTTCTGCTTTCATAACAAATTCAGTTTTACTCCGTTGGTACTTGAAAACAATTTTTTTAACGACCAGTCTCAGAGTCTAAAAATAAAGCCTACGAAGCCTGTGTCCTGCCTGTTCACGCCAGCTGTGTGCTTCAAGTTCTGCACTCAAAACCACGGAGCCCTGACCCTCCCGTGCCGCACTGCAGCTGTGGGGCTGCAGGAAGAGCGGGCTGCTCCGGGCTGTGCCTGCGCCAGGCCAGGTGTCTGCAAGGAGCAGCGCGCTGCTGGCGAGGCCGCACGAGCTCGAGGAAAGCAGAAGTGACAGAAGTCACTCACGGCCCAAGAATTTCTCAGCGGAATGGCTGATAGCAGGACGGGGAGAGCTGCCAGTAACAGCTCTGCCAGAAGCCTCTGGGTCAGAGGGAAAAGAGATTTGGATCCCCATCAAATTGGTTTAGTTCGGGGTTTGCTGAAAACAGCAATAAATGAAACCCAGAGGTAAAGGGCCTGATCCAGAGTTGGTGCATGATGCCAGCCCTGCCTGGGATAGGGCCAGAGGCCAGCAGCTCAGGCAGCACCGAGCTGGTCACTCTACTGGCAATGGTGCATGGAGCAGAGGAGGAAACAACTCCCTGTGCCTCAAATTTATTGGTTCTGGAGTGCTGACAGTAGTAAAAATGTGTTTTTTCAGTAGACAAAGCAAATACAACTTTCAAGGCACACAGGAAGCCAATGTGGGCTTGCTGGAGATGCTGCTCCTGCAGGGTCACAGTGCTGATGAGGAGAGAAGAAACATGCAGCTGCCCTGCTGGGACTCTGGAGGCACAGCTCTGAAAACACATTATGTTAAGGATCTGATCGCAGCCCACAAGGATTCACAGAGAGAATTCCAGAGCGATTTGCTTCCCGTTAAATCTGCCCAGAGAAACTGACCGTGTTTGCTGAGCCACCCCAGGGCTCAGGGCCTTCGTGCTGAACGCAGTGCAAGGGCTGAGCCACTGTGAGCTCTAAGTGAGTCTGCACCTCTACAGCAGAGCAAACCTCACAGAAAGGAATAAACCACCCAAAGCTGGGAGAGGAGAAACCGTGCCAGGTGTGCTCAGAAAAGCTGTGTCCTCCTTAGCAGAGGAAGCTTCCTCACAACTGTTCTGGTTTCCCTTACAGATTATTTTAATGTAGATCAGGAACTCATTGCCTCTCGCTTCTTATTTTCAAGAACCTGCCTGCAGATCAGACAATGACTGCTTGTTAAATGAAGCAAAACCGACAGCACAGCCAGAGAAGTCCTGTGCCCATCAGGCTTCAGGCAATATGTTTCAGAGCTCTGTGCTTCCCTATCTATACAGCAGCAATGCTGGTTCTTGCCTCTTTCACACTGATGCTGCAAAGCACAACTAGAGTTTCCTCCTGTATCAATACAAAGGAAAAAGTCCAAAGTCTTGCTAAAATTACAGAGAAAATTTCTGACTGACAGCAGAAAAGTGAACTGAAGTCACTTCAGGTGCAGTCTTATCTCCTAGTTAGCTCCTGGACCAACTCCCTGTTCTTTGATCACAATCCCATGCACTTTGTAAGAAACTCAAGAACTCATTTTCAACTTGTTTTCTTTTAAACTGTGAATCCCTAAAAGATTTGTAAAGGAGATGCACATTTTACATAGTTCTTATATGCCCCACGGCAAACTTCCCAACTGACCTTCTAGCTCTCATAGGCCACGTGTGAGCTCACCTGGGACTCCAGGCACTGCAGGTGACCTTAACTGTTCCACAGCTTGCAAACAAGCTGTCCTTTAGGCTGGCAAGGCTTGGGAAGCTCCAGCCAGACCTCAGAAACAGTGCTGCATCTCATGGTACCTCATCCATTTCCCTTTCCCAATTCAAACACAGAATGAAGAGTGTTTTAATGGACTACACAATGTTAGTAGGTGATCAGCTACTCTGAAAGAAAACAGTTATGAATCACATACTTTGGAAGGTAAACAGTTTTTTGAGAGAGCAAAGTTCTGCCTTGAAATCCCAAGAGAATGGAAACAGGGATGGATGCATTTGGCCAAGAAGCTGCATCTGCAGTGACAAATGATATATAAATAATGTATTTTGAAACTAAGCTCTGGGATGAATGTTTTACGGTGGAGTAAATCCTAGGATGACCGATGTGTTAAAGCAATAAAAAGAAGAAAAAAGAAAAAAGACCGCCCCCCCCCCCCAATAAAAATGTAAGGTTTTAGTTCTCAATAAGTACAGCTATATGGAAAGAGCAGACTTGACACTTGCCAAATGTATCCTTAAAAAAAGAGAGCAAAGGCTGCCAAAGAAGAGGAGAAAGTCTTGCAAGGTCCTTAAAGAACTGCTCTATTTTTCTCCTTTCACGTCGTTCTTGCTCTTCAAATACTGCACCTCCCTGATTCTCAGCCCGCTCTCCTCTCGCTCCTGCTTTTTCCTACGGTATAGACTCTTGTCTTTAGAACAGGGCTTGTGCATTCATCTGCTGATAAACTGTTTATCTTAGCTTTTATGAGGGCGCCTCGCTGCAAGCCAGCCAGAGACAGGATCCTGGGTGTTTGTCTTTTTTTTTAAAAGAGGGTCCGGGAAGTGGCGGGTATTTATACCTCCCCTTGGCTCTATATATCACGGGAGGTGGAACTCCTCTGTCTCTGTCTCTTGCTTTTTCTCTCAGCAGTGTTTTGTGCCATAAATCTGAATCTCTCAGAACAGTTTTCTTGGCTGCAACCCCGCTTGCAAGAATTAAACATTTTATTTACTTATTTATTCATTGCTGCAAAAGCTCTGCGACAGAGGAAAGCCAGAGCTTTTCTAATACCCCCCCACCTCCCCCCCGCCCCACCTAACCATCCTGCTTTCTGTGCCAAATATTAACATCTCTGCAGTC